TTATTCAACCGCACAAACTTAAGTCGTTCAGCTTATTCAACCGCACAGATTTATACATAAGGAGGATTTTATTTTTATAATCCGTATCCTTATTCTAAGGTAGGTAGGACTTAGCAATTTGAGCTAATCCAAACCTAGTATGTCACCATCCCATACCGGTACATACAATCCAATCCATCCAACAGTTGATAGAATACATAATCAATGCACATAGCAACTGAACCATAATAAGCATAAATAGAAGTATAGACTAACATGCTTACTCCAGTAACTGATAAATCAAAATAATAAGGTATATCAATTAATTCCATGATGAAGATAAAATAAATAGATAAACTATCATATTCATCCCATATCTCCATTACAAATTATCTCACTCTGAGCATGCAAATAATTTATTCTCTTCGTCCATAAATCCATGCTAAGTATAATAATAACCATATTAATTATCATGCTTGTCACTATTAATAATATCATATTAATCAATTTTCCATTCACAGAGAATAAATAAATCAAGGTTCAATAATTTAACATTCATATGCACTGAACTAAAACAATTTCCGTCGAGACTTACCAGTGTTCAAGCTATAAACACATACTGGTTTATTAAGTATTAATCCACACTCTGAAGTGTTAACAAGACTTAGACCATCTCTAAACACCCAAATATAGCTTCCTCCAGAATCTGAAAATCCTAAAATCCAAGCACCACAGCCCAAACAGTCGCCCAAAAACCCAGAAAACTGAAGACTTGAAGAGAGCCTGCTCCTAACCAGTTAGAGCCGCCTCCAACCAAGATGGAGCCGACTCCAAACCACTTGGAACCGCCTCCAAGGCACTTTGAGCCGGCTCCAAAACATTTTGGAGCCGCCTCCTTCCTCCTCTCCCCCTATCTACTTCTTTTCTTCAACTTTGTCTTCTCCGATGACGTCTAGTTTGATCAGTCCTCAACTCTAATGATTTTAATGACTAAAACTAAGTTCCAATATCCGAGATATTGTAAAAACCATTAATCCTAGACCCACTCTAATTAGAACAGAGTTCTACAAGAAAGAATTTAAAATAAACAAAAACGAAACATATAAACATATACCGTTACAGACGAACCTAAACATGCAAACCAGATTAATATCTTCCAGTATTACAAGCTAATTTAACTCTGTTTATATCAATTTACATGCATTATACATCCAGTTCTGTGAATTAGTTTATGAGCTAAACACGAAAGATCATAAAGCAATCAGTATAACTCATAACTACGTTCAGTTTTAAAACAACAGAGACATGCAAATTAGTTTACTTTTAATCCTTATACGTTCCTGGAGTTGCGTTAGAATGCAAAGAACATAAGCCTGAGGAATAGAGTTAGGATTAGAACTTGCCTTACACCGACATCGTTCTAATTTCTCTGGCTAACATTGTGTTTCCTCCTCTGGTTTCTCTCTGCCTCCACAACAGTAAACAGGGTTCTAAAACCCTAAACAGATTATTACTCGTATATTTATAGGCCACTAATCTTAGGTTCCATTAAACCCTAACTAACTTACCCGCCTCATAAACCAACCTATGATATATAAATGTCGGCTACACCGTGAAACCTAAAACCCTAACTCCAATTAACGCATTTAAATACTTAAACCAATTAACATAACTCAATTTAAAAAAACAATTTAATTCAAGTAATTCAAATAATCACAACTAAATCAAATAATTCCAATAATTTAGGTAAGTCAAATAATAACAAATAATTCAGATAAGTCAAATAATAACAAATAATTCAAGCAAACAAGCAATTAAACAAGTAAACTATTAAAATTGCAATTAAACAATTAATTAAATATCAGGACTATCCTTTGTAAAATTAGGGGTATTACACTAGCCGACCGCCAAATGTTTGACCAAGTTAGTGTCAAGTGGCACTATGAGCCGATCGTCAAATACTTGTGAAACTTATGGCAAATGACAACCGTTAAGCATTCAATCCAAACAGTGGCAACCCACCTTTTTGCTAAAGTTACTCCTTTGCCCTTAACTTATCATATAAGTTCCCACAATGCCCTCAAAATATCTACATCATATACATATATACACATATATATATATCATGCCAAATACAACATTAAACACTAATAAAAAAAAATCGAGAAAAGATTCTCGAGCACACAGTTGGTCCCGACACGAAAAATTCTAAAAACAGTCCAATAAATTCTGACATGTATAAAATAATAAAAATGCATTCCTGAAACTCCAAGCTCATGAAAATGTCCCTAACAACCTCAGGGCCGGCAGGCAAAACAAGGCACGAAAAATAAATAAAAGAAAATTACCTAAAATTTTGAAAAAATCCAGGACATTACAATCTACCCTCCTTAAAGAATTTCGTCCCCGAAATCTACCTTCCTTAAAAGGAAAGATTTCAACAACACTCTCTGAAAGAACACAACATAAAGCCTGCAAAGATGCCAGCTCACGGCCGGTCTTCATATCCATCATACTGAAAGTAAAGAAACAATCTCATCCCACTATCACTAGCCACAAAATGCTCACCACCCCATACAGGTACTCACTACACAACATCTCATCACAATAACTATTGGATTCCATAGCAGGTTTGAATTGGACATCAAACATACTCAATACAACTACACAAAAGACCCTGAAGCCCACAAGGATAACGATTGCAATACCACTAAACACAATAATATCCATCCTCGACTCACTACTCAAAGGATACACATGATCTGAGATGAGTCCCACTACCATATACAAAATCATAAGATAAACAACAGTACTTCTATAACTTCATAGCCATTAACAAATCATGACATTAAAACACCCAACATTTATACATTCCTCCAAATTGATAACGCAAAACATGCATTTTGACAATTTATGTAACAACCCGAACCCGAGGGTCCGAATCGCTAACCAGGTCCTTACCCAAACCCGAGATCATCTAAGGCATTACCGTCCTTTCCTATGTCAATGCATAAAATATATACTTCATCCCAAGACTCATAGTATATCATATCATTAACATCACAGAAAACTCACAAATGCAGGTAGAATGGCAGTTGCGTCTAAGTCCATGGATATAAGTCATACGTTCATACTCCTCAAGTTTCCTGAAAATATTAAGATAAGGGGTGAGCTCAACAGCTCAGTAGGTAATGCCTAAAATACCGGTTTTGGACTCCCTTGAGCCAACAACTAAAGAACGGGAATAGAAAAGAAGCTGGGTTCATGCAATTAGAGTCCGTACAACATTTATAATATAACCATCAATACACGCAATCACATATCATAATTCTTTAAAATCATGCAAATGATATGAAGTGTGATGCATCTCATCCCAAACTTGGTTTATACCGACCCAACACTCACTTTTTGAAAACCCACTAATTGACTTTACGAAGGCGATCGAGATTGATAACTATCATCGGTTCCAATTTTGGCAAAGCTTGGCAACTGTTAAATGGCCTAGTATCAACTTTTTCACGCCCTACACCGGGCCGCGCTCCCTCTAGGTCAAGTTAACTCCAGACTCGCGAAATCTGGTTTATTTCAAAATCAATTCCTCATAATCCTTTCCAATGACATTTTAAAAAAAAAAAAAAAAAAAAAAAAAAAAAATCATTTCAACCTCACTTTTCCCAAACCATGCCCATGCCATGAATGGAATCATACATGAATGAAATTGACACACTTATGCTTTCATTTCATCAATTTAGCCATACATACTCATCATCGTCATCATATATATACATATAACTTCAAGAAAACATTTTAACGTAAAGAATGCTCTTTAAACACCTTTGCAACCAAGCACATATATATATACATACACAATCAACATCATCTAGAGTATGCTTTGCCACATAAACACATAATTAACATTTCAAATTTCAAATTTATCATTTTAATCATGCTTAACAAGAAACCAAGTAAATGAACTCAACTAAAATCAAAACTTATGGTTTAGATATGCCATAAATGAATTTTAAAGTCATATGTAATGACTTACAACAATGGTGAACCCCACAACCTAATAAAAATCTCCTTTTAACATTATAATATATATATATATATATATACACACACACACACACATACAAGTGCTAACCACTTAACAACCACAAAATAGACATATAACCAAATAAGTGAGCATAATAAAATGATATATGAAATGCCACAAATCCGAAACATCGCCCCATGCTCAACGACTCCGGTTGCTGGTCTCGCCTGGGACCTCGGCCCGAAAAACTGAAAAATGCTTAAATGGCCAACAATGCATTTTTAAGAGTCATGAACTCAAAGAAATGCCCCAACAATTCTTGGGATTCACCCGGTACACCCCGCGGTGTCCAGCACGTAAAACGAGACGAGACAAAATAATGTAGAAAAATTAAGAAAATCCCAGAAAATAAAAAATGATGAAAATCGGAAACATTACAATTTAAGTTACAAAACATAACATACACAAAAATATTGTCTTCTAAATTTCTAATCCCACAAAAAGTTAATATTTTTAACTAATAACTACACACATCAAAATATTGATTCTAAAGCTTGAGCTAGAGCTATTCAATTGATAAAAAATAAAATTCAATCAAACTATAGATTCCAAATAAGATAAATATGTTTAGTCAATTACACCATACGAAGTCATCAAACTGGCACAGTAAACTACCAAAGAACAAAAAAGTCAGTAAGATTAAAATGTTTGTTAGGATTAATTTTTTGATAAATCTTTTTCAGTCATTTGGGAGTAAAATAATTTATATGGAAACAAATTTCCTAATTCTTCCAAATATCGGAAAATGAGGAAAATGATTTACAAAAAATATTTAACAGAGCCTAAATGTAGTTGCAATTTTGTCCTTGCACAATAGCTACATGCAGTACGTATAGATTGTGTTACTCATAATCATCATGTAGTTTCCAAAACCAAGCAAAGATCAGAGAGGCTGTCACAAAAAAAATGGAGATCATGTATCTTCTTAAATTTGGTGGTTGAACCAAAAATCACTGCATACATCATTATAGAAGTCATATGGATTTATGTGTTCTTGGTACGATACTTGAGAAATTGGAACTACATGTTCCGGATCAACATATGTCGCCTGGAGACCTTCCATGTACAAATCTTCCATCGAAAATGGTTGTGCCCAAAAGCTTGAAAGTTGTTCGAATGTTTCTGATGAACCAATCACGTCTATGGTATTGTATGCATCAATTTGAACAGCAGGATCAGCGTGGGATGAGGAGTAACTACCCGTGGACGAGAGTGGTGAAACTGGGATGTTCATAATGTCTTCTGGCTTTGAAGCTTCTGTGACACTAGAAAATGGAAGATTGGTTTCAGCTAGGTTGTTTAGTTTGGCATCACATTTGGTTGTTTCTACTTCAGTAGTTGAGTCAGTCCTCAGGTCTTGGTTGTTCTTTACGCGTTTCTTCAAGTGGGAGTGCCAGTGATTCTTAATTTCATTATCAGTTCTTCCACTCAGTTTCGCTGAAATTGCTGACCATCTGTAATAGAAGATCAGAGAAGACATGAGACCTATGTAATATTAATCCTAACATACCAGTCTTGAACATTAGATCTTCCTCCAACAGATGAAATCAAGTATCATGAAAAGGTCTTATCATATCTAACGCATTATTTTTTGAAAGTTAAAGCAATTCAGTCGTGCACCATGCCTTCACTGAGGCTAGAACCCTGCCCTCCATTTAGGTTCATTTTATGGTTATATGTAGCCTTCAGCGACCTCTTACGTCAGTTTCAGGACATATATATGAAATATGAAATACATGTAGCTCAATCTCTAACTTCACATATAAATAAATCAGGTACTGTGAGTATAGAATCTCTAATACTATCATGAAAATTTGTGAATGCTGCCGATGAGTATTAGCCCAGATGAAACGATCTCTGCTCCCCTTTGGTAGGTTGAATGTTCGAGCCCTAGTAGGCCAATATTATGAGTTTTATGAGTGTTTGCTTGAATTATGAGTAAAAAAAACAAAAAATTGTGAATGCTAGGGTTTTTCTTTTCTCCAAACTCACAAAAAAGAAATCCAAATTAAAGCTATAAATATTGATGCATACTCCAGAGACCATCAGTTCTGCTATATCACATGCCATATCTATATCTTCAATTACACAGTAATTTTGGAAGTTGTATCTTCGTAATCATTGATATATAATGCTGCTAGAAATTAGCTGAACTTTGCAGGCTTGCAGCCTAAATTTATCAAAACATAATCAATTTATAATGTTGCATGTCAATTTGGTACATTCTTATAGAGTATCTAAAATATATTTCAAGATTTTCAGGCACACAGTATTCCTCACATAACTAAGCATGGATAATGCATTGCAATTAATTGTCTTTTGCTATATATAACTGAATATAATCTAGCTAAAATATATTTCTAAATTAAGATGACTTACTTGTTTCCCAGCATTTCATGCAGTTTGATTATGATTTCATCTTCTTCCTTGCTAAAGTTTCCGTGCTTTATGTCCGGCCTTAAATAATTCATCCAACGAAGTCTACAACTCTTCCCGGACCTTAACAAACCTGGACAAATTAAAACCAAACCAAGAAGGTTAGCATAAACATGCAAAAAATGATGAAAAGATTCGGATCGATGAAGGTTTTGATTTCATAATTAATCATATGTATTCATAGAATTATAATTGTTTCTTATATTAATTTATACCAGCAGCTTTTGGGGTGACATTCCAGTTCCAAATTCCATATCTCCTGATGTAAGCTTTCAACCTTTGATCTTCTTCAGGACTCCATGCCCCTTTCCTTAAAGAAGCCGTATTCTCAGAGCGAAGAGGAGCTCTCACCATCTCTCACTCTGTGAGAAACTCTCTTGATTTCAGTTCTCAGGCCCAAAACATTTCATTGTGTAGTAGCTATTTATATATCATATATCATATATATATATATACACACACACATGATCCAATCCTAAACGTGTTTAACTGCAAGTTGATACTTTTTTAATGGTTAATTGAAATGATATTCAAAGGATGAAGCAAGAAATTTCAAAAGAGGGTTCTCACTTGCTTCCACAACATCAATTAATTAATACTACTATTTGTTTAGTTGTGTCACTCGCTCACTTGGAGCAAGTAAACAAAACTAAAGAGAGGACGACCAAGACCTAGATAGTAAACCCTCGCTCAGTACGGACTTTTTAAGTTTACTTCATTATTAGTGCATAGGATAAACAAACGCGTAAATTAGTTACTCTTTTAGACCTCGGCCAATTCAAGAGCCAAATGAATCTTCCTTTGAAGGTACGTATTATATTAGGTTATAAATTTTATATATATATATATATACATATAATCTAGAATAGATTTTAGTTTAGAAATTGCTCTAGGGAACATGTCAACATGCATGAATACGTTACAAAACAATTCATTTTTCCTGTTCATAAGGAGAATGTCAACTCAAGAGTTCATATAATGGGATGAATTAGTATATTGATTATTGGGGCTCATATGACACTCAACAAATCCAACAACATGGTATTTAGGCTCCTTTTGTTTGATGTAAAATATTTTTAATATTTATTTTTTGATATTTAGCAAAGAATTAGGTCGAATCTATCCAATGGGATGTGTAAAATAATTTGTCAAAAATTTATAATTTTTTTTTTTGTTAGATTTTAATATATTTTTTCTTCATAAATATTTTACGATAATCAAATATAAAAAAATAAATAAATAAACAAAAATATTTACATCCAAACAAACAAAGCCTCAATTCAACATTTTATCACTAATTTATCTAAACATCAAATATAGAGTATTTATACAAAGCTGTGAATCTTGACTTCCCAAATAGAAATTAATCTCTAGTTCCCACATGTCTTAATGGAGTTTTGGCAAACTAACGTTAATGATCTTGCCAAAAAAAAAAAACTAACATTGACGGTGTGCAATATTAATCATTTGCATAACATGAGAGAAATGAAAAACCATATTACATAAGTAGAAATTTTGAAGGAAGATATAGAGATGCTGAAATGTTTCATATTTACATTGACTTAGCTTCATTCTAGGGTTTTTTTTTTCCCTCCAAAGTTAAACACACACTTGCACTCACATCCATAGTTCGCCGTATCGTCTGATACGCGATGCATCGATCGATATGCGACTTTGTTTCAAGTCCAATATGTGATTCGTATTGGCCAAGTTATACTGACTTTGTCCGAGTCCGTTACACAGTGATCGCGACCGATACTACAACCGTAACCGATATTGCAAACCATACTCACACCATGCTCTAATGGGGTCGAACCCTCAATAAAAAGAGAATCATATCATTCATATTAGAGATCTAGTGACAAGGGCACAAAGGTGATGTAAAATCGATTGTTGAAACCTATCCGATTGGATGGTAAAAATGCACATACATGCTGACACAATTTTTGGAGTAGCTTCAACAAGGTTGTTTTGACTTGAAAAACCTTATATTGGATTGAAAATGGGCCAACGATCAATACTCACCACTGTGTTGCGACATACGCTGTTTTTTTTGTTGCTAAATTCCATTGTTGAGGACCTTAAAACTGCGTTTATTTTATAGAAGGTTTGTTTTAGGAATTTTTGTTTGTGGCCTCGGACTCATATCATTCAAAATTTTGGAATTCAATAGTTTTTAGTGATTAGGTTTCTTATTATTATTTTTTCATAATTTTTTTGAAGAAAGTTGAGTTTTTTTTTTTTTTTAAAAAAAAAAGGTGATTTAAGTGTTATTATAAATACATGTGCCAAAATAAGATCGTCCACTCAATTTTTAATAAAATATCACATTCCTATGCAATTTTATCTTCTATGAATTCAAAATTGTTCCTTGTTCATACCTTCCCTCAGTCAAACGTTGATATACCTATGAGATGCACACCAATATACTTGGCAATTATGTGGCTTAAACTGATGGTTTTCTATATGTACAAGAACTCATAGTCAATATCAAAAGGCATCTCAATATAATGGAACACAAATTTTGTAAATAGGATAATTTTGTAATTATCAAACGGTATCGAGCCACGAATTCAGTCGAGGGGCGACCTTGAAAATAATAAGATATATATTTTTTAAAAATATTTTATTTTTGGGCAAAATAATAAACATAAAAACTTGATATTAATTGATAATATTTTCGTTTATTACAATAACAACTGTATTTGAAGCCTACACAAAAAAAAATAATAATAATAATAATAATTGTATATGATGAACTTTTTTTTTTTTCCTATTTGGTACTCACACACACATATCTCTTTCGAGACTTGAACCTCTGACCATCCTTTGAAAAGTAAGAGACTGATACCTTTAGGCCACTGGCTCGTTAGTTATTTGATGAACTTTTAAGTAAGAACATACAAATTGAAGAGAAAAACTATACATATTCAAGTAATACAACTAAACAAAAGAAAACAAATTCAAATGTATGTATATTCTAGTATATATCACATCCCCTCTCTTGCAATGAATATTATTAAGAATTTTTCAGTAAGTCAAAATGCTAGTTAGTATTCAACAGACCCAGAAAGTCCTCTCTTACAATAACTAAAAATTAAGGAATGAAATATATATATATATATATATATATATATATATATATATATATATATATTTGGACAAGTAAGGAATGAAATTTTGTATTGGTAATTTAAACTCTTTTTATTTAGGTGCTAAAATAAAATTTAAATTGATAAACCATTTGAGGGGGACATTTCTCCTAGGCCCGACTTACCTATATATGTATATATTTGGGCAAGTAAGGAATGAAATTTTGTATTGGTAATTTAAACTCTTTTCATTTAGGTGCTAAAATAAAATTTAAATTGATAAACCATTTGAGGGGGACATTTCTCCTAGGCCCGACTTACCTCCATTGATTTGACCTTTAAACCAATATATAATTTAACAATTATACTATTCACTTATAATGTCTAGAATATACTAGATGAAGAGCACTAATGATGATAACATTTATAGTTTTGGCCCTTTTGGGAAGAAATTAAGGGGAAGGAAATGCAGTTTCTATATTTGTTCATATATACATATACACACATGCATTATAGATACCTGCTTCCAGGAGATAGCATTTAAATAATATATATGCATCTAGAGCAAATATTTTAAAATCATTAACTTTATTCTATTAAAAAATAAAAAGGCTGTGAAAGCTGTTTCAACCATCAAACCAATCCATTTTGTGTTGTTTTAAACCATTTGTAGCTGAATCATAGGTTAATTCAATACAGTAGGATTTAGAAAGCTTTGCAATTTAAAGTATAATCAGTACATAAATCTTCTATGCCAAAATTAAGTAGTAATTAGTATGTGCTTCCACAATGCTAATTAAGCTCTTATTAGTCATAAAATTGTAAGAATATGTGTGTGTGTATATATAGATTTATTCATGATTAGGATCTAATCTTTGTTTATAATATGGTTTATTAATAATGCCTAAACCGCCCATGATATTTGGTTTGTTTTGCGTATGACATCAAGGTGCAAACATCATCAGTGTACTGCAACCCAAAAAATAATAATGAAAGAACAAAAAATACTCTTAAATCAACAAGTTGTACTAATATCATGTATAAAATATTGAAGATCAAGAAAAACAGTACACCAAGTTTGAATTCATTCGTTTTGTTATATTCCGTTCACGAGGAATTACATACTGTCCCAGGTCAAGCAAAATAAAATAGTCATGCTCCTCTCTGTCAAGAAAGTAAATTAGCAACGAACATAGCTATCCATTGTCTAGATTCTCTGTTATAACGGATATCTATTATAGTGCGCTGTAAGAAATTTCAACACAATAAAAATATGTTTCAACATTTATGTTGAAATTTCTTTCCAACATTATTATTTCTAATTTATGTGTTAAAATTAATTGTGATAAAATACAAAAAAATAAATAAAAAATAACACGTTAAAGCAGATGTGTGCTACAGTAGATGATCCACATTCAACATACCCAACTGCAGTTTGTGGAGAGGGTGAAATCAACCATTGAACATAAGCTTGACTTTGTTTGAAGGAATTTTCTTCTTAACACGGTTTCAACAAACTTTTCGTACTAGCCATTTTGAAGAAAGGTGGGAAACGACGACAAACATATGTGAAATCACACACACACACACACACATATATATATATTAACTAATTAAACTTAATTCATTTCTTAATTAATCTTGAAATTAGTCAACTGGTACATGCCACTCCCCAGTCAACGTCATTGCCAATGTACCTTTAGGAAGAAAATCAACCATTAACGCGTACCATCTCTTTCTGGTTGGAATCTGTGGAGGTCTACTTCTAGAGATTGCATGCATGCATGCGACATAATTATAAATTAGTTAATCTGCATTAATTCTAAATTAATGAATTATAGACATGTGCATTGACAACAGTAAACATTTCTTTATCAATCAAATAGAAATTTGATAATACATCCCACACGGAAACTTAATTGACCAGATTGACCTGAGAAGATCAAACCCCAAACTTTCCAAGAAGCTAGCTAGGATTTACATTTGTTATTTTTCTTTTTCTTAGCCCATTGTGTTCCAATTTCAAAATCAGAACCATAATGTCTTGTTGCCATGTTCGTTCTAGTTCTTTTGCTCAACTTAGAACAGCACAGGCTCCGATCGATCTTGTGGCTGAGCCCATGTCCTAGCTGACTTCAATTGCTCATACCAACATGCATGTAGTTTGTATCCCTCAGTAATGATTTAGAGTTCAAAAGTCGGACAAGTTTATGTGAGTGAGGGCTAATAGTATCACGATGATCTCAATCCTTGCTCACATAAATTTAGTCGGATGTACATGTCCTGATGTCCGACAGTAGGACTCCCTTTCATTACTCTTGTATCCCCTTGACGTGTTATATATTTATTTCGTGTGTCATAAATGGTTTCAAGAGATTTTATATATATTGTAATATTGGTTTTGAGTCTCAATAAAATTAATGTTGTGTTTGGAAACAATAAATCAACTACTTAGATTTGAAATTGAAGAAAATTTAACCAAGATAAATGAGATTTACACATGTAAATCTATAATAAAGGGTGCTCTAATTGAGCTTGGGCAACTCAGTGAGAGCGCCCTCCTGAATGAGTTGCTTAAAATCAATAAATAGTAAATGGAGTAGGTCACTCGACTCCAAGGCCTGTTCAGTAAATCATTTCTGGTTCACTGTAGTTTGACGCTTATCCTGTAAAAATGTTGTATATAAATACCCCGAGTCAGATGAATGTTAGAATTTAGCCAATAAGGTGAAAATGCAACGGCTATGTAAGCCGAGTTAAACTATACTGAGGGCAATAATGGTCCAATTAGAGAAAATGAGCATTGGGCCTAGAGTCTAGGAATTGATAAATCTGACGCAACGGTTCCTTCAAATAGCCGTTGCTTGTTCCTTTGCGTTGGGCCTAGAGTCGTTCTTAGCCCACAATGTCTCCTCTTGTTTCCGTTTGCTGGGCTTTGCCGATGGCCCCTTTTGGGCTATCCTGTAAATCTTCCTTCATTTATACAATTTGCTTGACTATTCCAAATGTGCGTTTATTTATATATATATATATAAATAATTGAACCCTCCAATTTAAGTAATTTTATTTCATATTAAAAGTATATAATTTCAGTATATAATGCATATAATTTAGCATTTTTTGTTGTTTATAACAACTCCAAAAACCCTCAAAACTCATAATCCATGATAATAATGAGTTTCTTGGAACTTAATTAAATTTGGTATTGGCCATGGTTAGGTTATGTACCGGGTCGGGTCCCCATCCCTAACCCTAGCTATACTATTACACCCTTCAATGTTTTGTTCACACAGGCTTTTGATAACCTACCATTTAAAAAGAAAAGAAAGAAGAAGAAGATAATAACACTATATATTACTCGTTTCTTTTGCATTTTATTTAGTTGCAATGTTGACATTGCGCACTAGCTACAATTTAGATTGTTACTCACAACCACCATGTAATTACCAAAACTAAGCCCTGGTCACTTAAAAATATGGACATCAGGCTCTTTGGTTGCATCTGCATCTTCTTGAATTTGGAGATTGAACCAAAAATCACTGCATACATCATCATAGTAGCCATATGGACTTGTGGTTTCTTGGTACCATACTTGAGAAATTGGAACTACATATCCGGGATCAACACATGTGGCTTTGAGATCTTCCATGTACAAATCTTCCACAGAAAATGGTTGTGCCCAAAAGCTTGAAAGATCTCCGAATGTTTCTGATGAACCGATCACCTCTATGGTCTTGTACTCATCAATTTGAACAGCAGGATCAGGGTTTGATGAAGAGTAATTACCCATGGATGAGCTTGGTGAAATTGGGATGTTCATGGAGACTTCCGACTTTGAAGCTTCTGTTACACTAGAAAATGGAAGTTTGGTTTCGGCTAGGTTGTTTAGTTTGGCATCACATTTCGTTGTTTCTCCTTCACTACTTGAGTCAGTCCTCTGTGCTTCGTTGTTCTTTAAGCGTTTCTTCAAGTGGGAGTGCCAGCGATTCTTAATTTCATTATCTGTTCTTCCGCACAGTTTTGCGGAAATTGCTGACCATCTATGTAGTAGGAGAAAGAAGACACGAAATTATAAACCTTAGTAATAATACTAACATCCTAGTCTTAAACATCAGATCTTCCTCCAACAAAAGAAGTCAAAATCACAAGGAAGTTCTTAAAATTAATATATTACTCATAAATGTGGTAAAAGTTATTGATGCGTGTTTGTGTGCACGCGGGCATACAAGAAAGTAAGGCATTCACCTTACATGAACTTCAGTCTCCCATACTTTGAATTTGTGTCAATTGGTATGTTATTGGCCAATATTGTTTTGGTTGATGAGACTAGAGAAAGGAGTTAATCTCACTGGAGGTTTGGAGATCGAGAAGTTTCAAAACTAAAAATGTTTAAGCTAAGTAGAAATAAAAGTGAGTATATAAAGTTTGACTTTAATAAATCCAGGAATACAAATGAGGATGTAGTAAGTATTGAGAATCAAGAGATTAAAAAATAAAAACGAACATTTTAAAGGTTTAGTAAATACACACATATGCCTTCATTAAGCTCAAACACCAAATCCCCCTCTCCTGTTTGGGGAGGAGGGCTTGTACCAGATGGGTTATTACCCATTTGGTACGTAGTTAGGTAGACTCAATTATTGATCATGAGGAAAAAATTGTAGATGGGTTAATCATACAATTAAGACAGGATTGATTAAATGAAGGAGTGTTTCTAGTACATTGTGTGATAGTCATATACCCTCATGATTGCAAAGAGAGTTCTATAGAATAACTATTAGACCAGATATAATTTATGATATTGAATGTTAGGAAACTAGGAATTACAACATTTGTATAAAGTGAGTGTAGCAATATTAATACAAATGTTGTTGATATGGATGTGCGGTAAGACTAGAAATGATAGAATTACAAATAATTATACATTTGGGAGAAGATTAGAATAGTACCAAATGGAGATAAAATGAGAGAAAATAAGTTAGATGATTTGGACATGTGCAAAGAAGATCATTAAGTGCGTTGATTAAGAAAAGTGACATAATTCACATTGAGAGTAATACAAAGGAAAGAACCGAAGCCTTAACATGGGCAGAGTTAGTAAAGAAAATATAATAACATATGGATTGATTAAAGTTATTTCTTTAAATAAAATGAACTGGAAACATATGATTCATATATATAGTCAACCCCAAATAATTAGAAAAATACTTGATTATGGTTGTTGTATGTAGCTTTCAGCTTTCTCTTGAGTCAGTTTCAGTACCTATATATGAAACTATGAATAAGTGCAGCTCGATCCCTAACTTTGGATATAAATATATCATGTACTCGAATATGCGTTCTCTAACACTATAATGAAATTTTGTGAAGCCTGATACGATTTCTCGTATTTAAAGGGAGGTTAACAAAAAATTGCAAATGCCTATTTTTTTTTCTTTTATCCAAACTCAACAAAATAATAATAATAATAACCAACAGGCCAGTGGCCTAGCGGTACTAAGACCTTACTTCTTAAAGAGATGTCAGATGTTCGAACCTCAATGGAGGAATATGTGTGTTAGTACCGATTAAGAAAAAATAAAAAATAAATAAAAATAAAAACTAAATAAAGAAAATAAATAAATAAAAATCCAAATTAAAGCTATAAATAATGATGCACACTAGAGATATGGATCAGTTCTACTGCTATATCACATGACACATCTTCAGTTACGCAGCAAGAAGTTTAGAGTTATATATTTATATGTTATTATATGTATATGAGTTGTATCTTCATAGTCATTGCTATATAATGCTGCTAGAAATTAGCTGAACCTTGCAGGCTTGCAGCCTAAATTTATCAAAACATAAATAATTTAAAATTTTGCATGCCAATTAATTGGCACATTCCTAGAGTATGTAGACATTATCAAGAAATGAAATTACACATTAATGCATGGTTAATATTTAGCAATTAAATGCCTTTTGCTATAACTGAATACAATCATCTAAAATATATTTCTAAAGATGATGAGTTACTTGTTCCCCAGCATTTCATGCAGTTTGAGTATGGTTTCGTCTTCTTCCTTGCTAAAGTTTCCACGCTTTATGCCCGGCCTTAAATAATTCACCCAACGAAGTCTACAACTCTTCCCGGACCTTAACAAACCTGGAAAATATATAATCAAACTCAAGAAAGTTAGCATAAACATATATGTACCAAATGGAGCAATGAAAAGACACTCAGATCAATGAAGGTTTTAATTTCATAATCATATGTGTGTGCGTGTGTATATATTATAGAATTGTTACTTATATGTGTGTGTGTGTGTATATATATATACCAGCAGCTTTGGGTATGACTTTCCAGTTCCAAATGCCATAACTCCTGATGTAGGCTATCAACCTTTGATCCTCTTCAGGACTCCATGTGCCTTTCCTTAAAGCCGTGTTAATCTCAGAGCGAGGAGGAGCTCTCACCATCTCTAGCTAGCTCTGAGAATATCTCTTAATTTCACTTCTCAGTCTCAAAACATTTTGTATCACACACACACACACATATATATATGATTATGATCCAATAGTATAAACGTACTTAATTAAAAATAAATAAATGATATTCAAAGGACAAAGCAAGAAATTTCAATAGAGGGTTGCTTCCACATAACATCAATTAATATTTGTTTAATTGTGATTTGGTGCTGTATATAGAAACTTCCTTTTCTTTCACTCGATCACTTGTGTAGCAAGTCGACAAATACACACGTACACGTTTAAAACTAAAGAGAGGACGAACGAGAGGTCCAACACCAAGAAAGTCCACCCTCAGTGCCAGGGGCAGGTGCCCCCCTCCCACCCTCCGGGGCCCAGGTTGACCGACTATATATATATATATATATGAAAAATATTACATAATGCCGTCCTATAAACCTATCTAATTCTTTCTTTGGTATTTTTTATTATTATTATTATTATTCTCTTCAAATAAATTTACATTATTTTTTTTCATTCAAATCTTTTCTTTTTTTTTGAACCAGATATTTTGACCATATATGCTTAGATAGTTTTCTAGGATTATTATTATTATTATTATTAATATTATAACATTTCAACAACCTCCATTTTTATGCAAGTATATTTGATTTTTACGAATTTGTTGTGATATAAAAAGAGAAAAAACAAATTATATAGTAAAACATAGACTGACTTATGTGGTCATAATCAAACAAATATGCCCAATAATTATTGTAAGTTAATATTTTATATTAAAAAATAACGTGCTCAATATTTAACTAACACAATCACCACGCTATCGATTTATTAGATATTTCATTGCATCAACCCAAATTAATTTAATTAATATTTTTATTTTTATTTTATTTGAAACTAAATCCTAACCCCATCATGCCAAGTACATTATTAGTTATTATTACTTATTTATTATTATTATTTGCCTGTTTTACTTCACTTAATGCAAATGATCAACAAGCGCGTAAATTGGCTATTCTTGTAGACCATCCAATTCAGGAGCCCATCTTCCTTTGAAGGCACATATTATATTAGTTAAATTTTTCTACCAAATCAATATATATTGAATAGTAGATTTTAGTTCAGACATTGCTCTAGGAAACATGAAAATACTTACAATATGTTTCTAATAGGTCGGATTCAAACTCTCGATCAATTAGAAGAGAACGAAACCATACTATTGAAAGGACACGAAAGAAATTGTTCAGATATGAGTAACAATTATATGACTCAACTCTCACTTTTATGGTTCTATATAACAAGTTATAGTCACGGTGTTATAATTAAGTTCCCAAGCCATCCCATAAGGGATACAAAATTTAAAAATTATGATATTGCAATTGTCAAAAGGGATCTCATTTGACCTAGGCAGAGACAAGTAGAGGGCGGGAGAGAGAGTGACATTATAAGCTCACACGTTAATTTGACCTTTAAACCAATTTATCTCTCTCCACCGCCCTCTCTCTCTCTACCATATCAGTTGTTCACTTTGGAATGTGTATGTGATGAGTTGCACTGAAGATCATAGAAGTTAGTTTTGGGACAAAAGAGGGAAGGAAATAAAGTTCCTATTTTGGTTCAGACAATGCAGGGTCAAACTTACGCATGGTTTGTAAATAATGCTTAAACTGTTCAGGAAATTGGTTTATATTGCTAGATGACATCAATGTGCTAACGTCATCTGTGAAGTGGAACCAATAATGCAATGAAGAAAATAAAAAGAGTCAAGTACAAAAAATATTTCTTAAATATGTTTATAGTGCATATCACACACTTCTGGTGCAAAAAATACTCTTTAAGTTTTAATTTGGTACAATCAAATTTCTCTGGCACATTTAAAACCAAACTTAACTAAAGTACCCTTAGTCAACAATTTTATAAAATATATAAAAATACAAAATTTTGTAAAAAAACCAAAAAGGATAATAAACAGTGACGGTGGTGACCTCGGAGGCTGTGGCGTTGATAGGGAGACGGTGGCGGAGGCGACCGTGAACTCAGGGAGGCAGGGGTGGAAGACGAACCAGACGATGAAGAAGATGAGGACTAAGGCGATGGGTGCCGGATGGAAGCTACACTCCGCAAATATCGAGGGAAATCTGACAGCGGCTCTCGCCATCGAAATGTGAATTATTGTGTCTCAAAGTTTCAAACCCATCGTTTCCACCTCCGACCGTGCCGATTGTCGGCATCGGCGAGAGCCATAAACCCCATGCATTGCGACACCGGCAAGAAAGGAGAAGCTCAACTGTGATCTACGGCGAGCTCGGCTTTGATGATGGAAGCGGCGGCGAGCTCGGCTTTGATGGAGCGACGATAGAAAGGTCGGACGGTGGTGAGAAAATGGGCTCGGATGTGGAGAGCTCGGCCATGGATGACTCGGCGGTGAGCTCAGCCGGTTGAATCGGCGGTCGACGAGCAAGGGAGGGCTCGACAATGCAGCGGTGGTGACGGCAGACAGCTCTGGTTTGTCAAGGTTACCTTGAATAGTACACTGCGAAGCGGACACTGATACCAAGAGGCCAACCATCTTGCGTCAATGTAGAAAAAGTGGCCACAGAGGATAACTCCATGATTGTTCTTGAAACCTTAGCTGGAATGTTTTATCATTGCTAGTCGATTTCAGCTGGGTAGGCTCTGAAATGACAGAAACTGAACATTTGAGAGGTTGTACCAAAGATTTACGAAATGGGTATGGCTTTGAAGGGTTGAATTGGGTTGTGATGGTAGGTTTAGAGAGAGAAAGTGATGGTCTGGAGAAGTGGGCAGTAGGGAGGACTGAAGGTAGAAGATGGGCTGTGTGAAAGATTGGGTTTGTAAAACCAATTCACTTCACTGTGTGAGATCAATCGGGCCTTCCAAGATTCCTGCTTTGCGAGATAATCTAGAAAGGGGAGGGAGAGAGAGAAGAGAGAAGAAAAAAAAAAAAAAAAAAGAGTTCGTAGAATTGGATCTGGCTAGCGCTGACCGTAGGTCCCACTGCTTCATCAAGCGGTGGTTGAAGAAGAAGAAGACGGTGGTGGAAGAAGCTGGCGGTGATGGAAGAAAGAGTCAGTGGTGGAGAAGAAAAAGGAAACACCAACGACCAAATCGCAGAGAGTGGAGAGAGCAGGATAGGTAATTTCGGAAGACAAAAAGGGCAAAAGGGTTATTACAATAATAATTTTTGTCAAATTTCTGACATAAGGGTAATGTTGTACAATTTCAAAAGATTGAATGTGTTTATTACACACTTTTTTAAATAGGGGTAAAAGTACTATTTATAATATACTTGAATAGTGTTTTCTGCACTTACCCAAAATAAAAGAACTAAATCACCAACAAGTGGTTTAATTAGTATCATGTAAAAAATAATAAATAAAAATATAGACAAGCATGCAGCTAGTGTATCAAGTTTGAATTCATTCGTTTTGTGATAATTCACAAGGAATTACAATGTGTACCAGGTCAAGCAAGAATCATAAAATAGTCATTCTCTATCAAGAAGTGAAGAACGAGATTTATAATACCCAACATGAATTAGCAACAAATGAAGGTAGCTGTATTTACCTAAGAAAATATAGCTATTGAATGAGTTCCACTTTATTTCTTATATTTTACCTACGAAAAAAAAAAAAAAAAATTTGTTACACTCGGTTTGGAGGATTTTAATTCCTTCAAAGCATTGGGGATTATCTCTTTGATTATTAATTGGAGATAAACACGGTTTCAACCAAATTATATTAGCCCTTTGGAAGATTATGGTAAACGACGACAAACTTATGTGAAATCACATGTTATATATATAATCAAATTTTCCAAGAAGATAGGATTTACAATATTTCTTACCCGATTGTGGTCAAGTTCCAAACCATGGCTTAATGTTCAGTTGACACAACTACTTTGTTGCCAAGTTCGCTCGAGTCATTAGTGATGCTCTTGCTCATTGGTAATTTGATTTACATATGTGAATCTATTTTCATTGGGTTATACCCACTATATATATATAACCAAGGATTTTTTTTTTCTTTTCTTTTTTTTTTTTCTTTTTTTTGCACTTTTTACCCATTTTTAAAAAGGACTTTTACATATAAGTGGTGGTAGCAAAAGTATATTATCAAATGATGAACTAGTTTGTATATTTACTATATCATGAACCAAAAGTGAAGTCTTTCTATTTGAACCTCTGTTATAAGTTAAAATTATATTTTCACCCTTAAAGTTTATTTTATGCACAATTTATCCAAAGAAGAACTTTTAGGAATTCTAAAATATTTTCAAATAGCACTTAAGAACTGTTACACTTCACGAGAATCCGGAAATACAACACATAGCCTTCAACGAAGAATAGAAGAACTTAGATCTAGAAGAATTATTCTTGTACAAAATATTTTAGATAATAAAATAATACTTTCCGCCATTAAAGATATAAATAGTGATATAAAAGATATTGCAGAAAATCAAAAAAATAATTATAGACTATTTAAAATCATTATAAAAAAAAAGACATCCAAAGGTTATTGCAATAATTTATGAGCACTAGTAATCCTGATTACCTACAAGCATTAGCTAAGCTCTATAAAATAGATAAAGAATGTAATACCTCTAGTTTTCAAAAGAATAAAATGGAAATTTAATTTTGATTTTTATTGCATTTATTAATTTTAATAAATACATCACGTAATTCAAATTTCACACGTAGCCACATAAGCACCTAAAAATAAAATAAAATAAATATTGAAAATAATAAAATTTCGATTATATCCCTTTCAAAACTAGGGGTATTACAAAGAACCTATAGGATTTACAAGTTTTACGACAGACGTAAAATCAACCAATATATATATTAAACAAAACAAATTTTTAATCCAGTTATTACTCCAGCTATCAGAAAAAGTTAATAAACTTGAAGAAAAATTAGATATATTATAATAAAGTATTCCTAGAAAATCTTCTAAAGAAATAGTTGAGCTCTC